ACCAAACCATCTCCAGACGTTGCTAGATGTCCCAGGAGAGCGAAATTTCTGGGCTGAGAACCATTGCCTTGTAGCTTACTTCCATGTAAATGCTTTATTGCTAAGTGGCAAACCTGTCATTTTTTTCACATTTTTTCAGACAGCCCAATCTCTCTCTTGAGTATTTTTTTAAAAGTATCTTATAAGCATCATACACTTTCTAAGTTCAGCTTCCCCCTAATTAAAGAAATCGCAGTTGGTGTGTGCATATACTGTACAGGGATGGATCAAAAATTGACTCGACGCAGAGATGAAGTAAACAGACGACTGTAAGATAGTGGCAGAGGCTCCTCATCAAGAACATAAGCTTGTGAAGGGTAAAGGAGGGCTTTGGACTAGAACTTGTTTAACACAAACAGAATCATAAAAGTGACCTGTCAAGAGCTATGGTGAAGGCCAACCTTTCCTTGGTTTCCTCGTTTCCATTTTGAACTGTGCTTCTCCAAAATCCAAATGTAAAAAGGCAAGCAAATGTTCTGGTATGCAATACGTATTATATTTAGTTGGCAAGAACTTAGAATATATATTACATATGCTAAAACCTTATATATAAAACCTTCTATTTATATTCTTCTGTAAATGTAAAGATATATTTGTTTCTGTTCTCATTCAGAAAAATAACTTACTTGCAATTTAAAAAAAAGAGAAAACACCTGTCCCACCTTAAATTCTATTCCCTCTTTCTTTAGAAGCTATGCGTTTAGCTTAACACGTGTCAACTGATTGGTATTGTTCTCAAGGGAATTTTGGTTTTGCAGAGTGGTGTGGTAACGAAGTGTCTTTTAAGGGTCCAGAAGCTGAAGAGAAGCCCCATCCTGAAGTATTACGCACAGGGAAAGGGAATACATCTTCAGTGTTTTCTCTCCTGTTGCTGGTGGGGGTAATTATAGTAATAGTAAGAAGGCTTGTCATTTAGCATTAGACATCTTTCTTTAGTAATATTTGTCATGGACTATTTAGAACCCATTGCTTTAAAAAAATGCAAGACTTAGTTTTGCCCTACCAGAGTCAATAACTAGCACCAATATAAAAGTTTCCAGTGGATGAGGAAGTAAACTGACCTAAAAGACATTAAGGATTCCCTATAATTTCCTGGCAGTTCAAATTATATCAATAATATGCATTCCTAATTATGCCTCAGATGTGCACAATCTTTTTCCTCAAGAAGATCTTTCCATCCACAAAAGATCTATTCATAGAGTTGGTAGTTTTCAAACTCAGTGCCGAACCCACGTCTGTGGCAGGTGGGACTGTGGTCCCTCTTCAAGAACAGTAGTGCGTTTTCTTTAATCATGCAGAAGCTTTTTAATTTGATATAGTCCCATTTGTTTATTCTTTCCTTTATGACCCTTGCTTTAGGGGACATATCAGTGAAGATGTTGCTGCATGGAATGTTTGAGATTTTCCTGCCAATGTTCTCCTCTAGGACTTTTATGGTGTCACGACTTATATTTAAGCCTTTTATCCACCTTCAATTTATTTTTGTGTATGGTGTAAGTTGGTGATCGAGTTTCATTTTTTTGCTCATAGCTGTCCAGTTCTTACAACACCATTTGTTGAAGAGGCTATTTTTACTCTATTTTATGCTTCTGCCACCTTTGTCAAATATTAATTGACCGTAGATACTTGGGCTTATTTCTGGGGTCTCTGTTCTGTTCCATTGGTCCATGTGCCTGTTTTTATGCCAGTACCAGGCTGTTTTGATTACAGTGGCCTTGTAATACAGTTTGGTATCAGGTATTGTGATCCCTCCTACTTTACTCTTTCTCAAAGTTGCATCAGCTATTCAGGGTTGTTTATGGTTCCATATACATTTCTGAAATGTTTGTTCTATATGCTAAGAAAATAAGCCAGGCAGTGAGGGACAAATACCTTATGATCTCACCTTTAACTGGAACATAATCAACAAAAGAAAAAAGCAAACAAAATATAACCAAAGGAATTGAAATTAAGAACAATCTACCAATAGCCAGAGGGGAGAGGGGAGGGGGAAGTGGGGAGAACGGTTTTCAGGAACTACTATAAAGGACACAGGGACAAAACCAAGGGGGAGGGTGAGAGCAAGGCAGGGGAGTGGGTTTGGCTGGAGTGGGGCGAAGTGGTGGGGAGAAAATGCAGACAACTATAGTTGAACAACAATAAAGTAATTTATGAAACAAAAAAATGTAAAATAAAAGAAAAGAACAGTAGTGCGGTGGCAGAGAGCAGCGTCAGAGGGGATACAAGGGGCTGCAAGGTGCAGGCCAGAACTGCCTCCAGCTGGCTCCACCACAGCTAAATGTTGCGGAAGGGAAGCCGGGTTATTTAGCCCGACTTCCATTTCTTTGATATATAGTAATAATTATACTGGACGGACCTCTGATCCTCCTGTGTCCATACTGACTCTGATTCCCTCTGGACCCCTAATTAAACAGTCACTTGACGTATGTTCACCTCTGTTTTCTACCCCTCTGCCCTCCAACCTTCTGGCTGGTTATGGCAATCTGAGATGTTGGATTGCAGACAAGGCCTGAGACGCGGTTACATTTAGTTTTCACTCCTTGTGAAATGATTCCCAAGCTTCCTTTCGCATCACAATCTCTAGGTCTTCTTAATTTTGAATCGTCTTTTCTCATGACTTTGCTTGAGTTTTTTTTTTTCCAGGAAGGGTACTCAGATAGTAAATTTTCTGAGACCTTGAGTATTTGAGAAATTCTGTTGGTTTCATATACACAAACATCAATTCATCTACTTCTGGAATTTATGCATCTTTTGTAACATGTATTTTTTCTCAAAGTTATGAAAGTTTGCCCCATTTTATTCTCATCTTTACTCTTCTTTCAACTAATTCATGCATTTTTAAAACTAACAATTTTTTTCATTCCATATCCCTAAATTCCATAAGAACAGAGTACTGTCTATTTTGTTCATAGCAGAATATGATGTACCTTTCACAGTACATGACGTAGGGGACACTGGAAATAGTTTTGAATGGCTTGCTCCTCTTTCATTCATTCTGGTGTCTCATTTAACACTTACTGTGATTGTTCTCTAACTTCTGTATCCCTTCTTTTCTCTGTCTTCATCTTCACCTCTTATCCTTCTGCTCCACATTCCAGGCAGTCTCTCTCTGCCTTCCATACTACTGGTTCTGTTTTCTGCATTGTCAGTTCTGGTCCTTATTGCTCGCAAAGGTTTATTTACATCCTGCTGCTGAGTTTTCAGTTCCTTGAATTATTTTCTTCTTAATCTCAGCCTGATACATTTCATCTTCGATAATTGTGTTTTTATTTCAACTGGAGTTTTTAAAATAATCTTACCTTGTTGAATAGGCTTTTTTTAAACCAATATATTTTGAGAATACTGGACAAATATTTTCTTTTTTTTAAAGATTTTATTTATTTATTTTTAGAAAGGGAAGGGAGGGAGAGAGAAAGAGAGAGAAACATCAATATGCGGTTGCTGGGGGCCGTGGCCTGCAACCCAGGTATGTACCCTGACTGGGAATCAAACCTGCGACACTTTGGTTCACAGCCGGCCCTCAATCCACTGAGCTATGCCAGCCAGGGCCGGACAAATATTTTCTAAAATTTTCCTGAAATAAATTATTTCCTCCACAATTTTAGGTGAATTCGTAACTTTCTCTTTTTTTCTATTCTTCCTTTAACAAGAAAAAAAAATATATTTAGACTTTGTGCCTTTCCAATATACAAGTTACTAGAATTTAAAGAAACTTTGAAAGAAAAGGAAAGAGAGAATTAGCCTCATGACTTGTTGGAGTAAATGTGATCGAAAAGTGGCAGAAAAGCCTTATCCTCTGAAATAGCACTCATTTAGCTAATGGATTCCAGAAATTAAACAGGAGAGTCAGCAGGATGCAGAGTCCGTCAGTGCTATAATTGCAGATAATGGGTTAAGTCAGCTCTTCGTGGGAATTAACCCATCAAGGCACTTCCTTGAACAGACCTGAAGAAACACCTGGACACTTAGTTTCTGCAGGAACTGGAGTAGAGTCAGCATCAAGACAAGAGAAACAATATTAAATTGTTATGTTGTACACCTTAAACTTAAACAATGTTGTATATCTATTATATCTCAGTAAAACTGGAAACAATTTAATTTAAATAAAAAATAAATAAATTTTAAAAAGAAAAGAACCTAGAGAAAAAGGAAGCCTAAGGACAGGAATGACAAACTTGGCTCACCTCACAGTACGGTCCCTTGGATTATCTCAGCAAAGTCGGTCTGATTGTCTTAAGAGTTTAAAAGTGAAGATCCTACCATTTCTGAACTATATTAGCCATTCTAGAAACAGCTCTTAGAATGGAGGAAAGTGATACTTTATTTTTCTATGTGCATTAAAAATTAAAAGGGGGGAAGGGTAAGAAAAAATATTCTGGTTGTCCAAATTATTTTTTGATAAATGCCTTAAATTTAATTATTTTAAGTATTTACTACATACTCAAGATAATATAAGACTAACACAGGTATTAACCAATATCAGAAATTACAGTTTTTAGCACAACTATTATTTCATTAATGGTTTGCAGGACTTTCCTCTTACACTTGTACTGGAAGCAAATCTGATCTCTGTTTCCGTAATGTCATAAGCCCACATTGCATGGATATTCCTTCCATAAACCTTTCCTTTCATTCATTTTAATGAAAAGCTTACATGTGCTCAAACTGACATCTGGCATTTTTATAAAATTAGCCAAATTTGCTTTTAATAATATTTGGGAAATAAATTCATGTACATGAATATTTAATGTGTTTGTACACATATCTAAAAATACCAAGTATATCCTTTTGAGAAAAATCTCAATACCACAAAACTAAGAACCCATCTAGAAGTCTTTGCTTACTTGCGTTATCATCATTAAACCTTTACTCTGGCTTGCTTTCTAAGTTGGGGTGGAAGAGATCATACTTTCTTGCTGAGTGTGAAAAAACGTGACAGGAGCCCTTATGTCTTTCTATAGATTCTTTACAGATTAAAAGAAAAGTTTCAGCTTTCTCTGAGACAAGATAAAGAGAAAAATCAAGAGATCCACCTATCACCCCTAGCCTTACAGCCAGCCCAGTCTGAAGCAAAGACGGTCAACAGCATGGTCCAGCCCGAGCAGGCGCCGAAGGTGCTGAGTGTGGTCGTGGACCCTCAAGGTCGATACGCTCCCGAGATCAAAGCTACCACCTCTGTCTGCCCTTCTCCTTTCAAAATGAAACCCATAGGACTTCAAGAGAGGTAAGAGCTTTTTCTGTATCCCCCACATGTTGACTTTTTTTTAGAGTATTCATCAACTAAAAAGGATAGAACTAGAAATGATTGGAGAGTAACTAGAAATTGCTCACTCCCCAATGGACACCAGAAAGAGTTTTTCTCGTCTCCCCAAGAATGCAGCTGTGTTACACAAAAGCTTTTAGTTACATTTGATTTTGTTAGACTGGTATAGACCCAAGCCGAGCTCATTTTCAACAACAGGGCAGCTTCTATCATCATGTACTGAGTGCTTGTTGAGGGCTGCTGACCTATCCTGTTTAATTGTCACCAGAACTCTGGTAGATAGAACTGGAAATGAACTTCAGGCATTTCCCACCAAAGCCACTTGGTATGGAGTGAGACAGAAGGAGTTGACACCACCTATTAACTTGATATAGTTTTCCCTCTGCTTCCTTGACAAATGCTATGTCAAGATTCATAACATTCTCTGTGTTGCCTTACCTGCCTTGGTGATGTTCTTATACATTGTCATTTAAAACAAATCCAATGTATGAAGCTAGAGTATGCAAAATTCATAAATGAGGGGCTAATGTTTTGTTTCCCCAAAATTTTAAGGAAAGCGTTCACATGGCATTTTTTTTAAATAAGAAGGTTCATGATTATATTTAAAATATGATTTATATTATATTCAACATTGCATGTTGGAGTAGTGAAGGAACTAACAATTTTCAAGATACACTCACAGGTTCATTTTTTCCTTATTTTACTACATCTCCATTTTCTCTTACCCTCCTTTTTGCTGCCTTAGGTTTGTAGATCACGCATATAAATTTGATTATATTTTCCATCACACACACACACACACACACACACACACACACACACACACACCACATGCCTTTAGAAAATATAGTTTGTGGCTTTAAGGACAGCAGAAGACCAAGTTGGTCATTCAAATTTCTTTGAAAGTACTAGGGGGGACTCAAAAAAAAACCAGAATTCTCTTCTGGAGAGCAGGCGCCTTGTAGTACAGACTTCTGCCACTAGGTGAATGTTCTAGGAACCCATCTGTATAGGTGTACCAGCTGCCATTGTTGTGAGAGGCTGCATTTGGCTTCAGCAAATTTTTTTAAGACTGTTTCAGCGTGTTTTCTCATTTCATGATGGGTGATTTATGAGCACACTTACCTACACCATGCTGAGTGTTCAGCAGTTATAACCAAAAACGGTATGACCTCCATGCTCTACCCTCCCTATTCACCGGATCTTGCCCCGAGTGACTTTTTTGCTTTCCCCAGATGGAAAACGTCCTCAAAGGGAAACATTTTGCCATTGTAGAAAAGGTAAAAAGAAAAACAGTAGAAGCACTAAGAGGTATCAAAATCAATGAGTTCAAAAACTATTTTGAGCAGTGGCAAAAAATGTCTTGATAGGTATATTGCAACAAATGGGGAGTACTTTGAAGGTAACTGAAATTTGAACATGTAAGAATAAATACACAATTTTTTATAAATAAATTCCATGCTGGGGGTCCCCCCTCATATTGTCGAAGAACAATGAATGAATTGAAAAGAAAGGCATCCAGTGGGGTGAGCTCCAAAGTCCTTAAAGGAAAATGGAAAGCAATCAAGTCATTCTAAGTACTCTTCCCACCAAATATTTGATGCTCTCCTGGTGGATCCAGGTACCAGTAAATTGCCACCTGAGCTGTAGTATGGAAAGGCTGACAAGACAGACCTTTTCCCAGAAGCTAACCAGGATGCAGGAGACCTGGTTTTGAGACCCAGCTCTGCCATTTCTGGATTGACTGGCTTCGTGAACCCTTCACCTATCTGTGCCCCACTTTCTTCTTCTGTAACATGAAGGTGTTAGACCTGGCCTCTTCACTTCCTTCGGGTTCTCTGACTCTTGTCACCCAAATTAGTTTTGTGAATTTATGTTTTCTTCCAAGAGAAACCTTGAAACAGGCATCTGAGCATCAGTGGTGCCCCAAGGGCAAGGCGGCAGAAAAGACCTGCTCAGGTGCAGACAATAAGAAGGGGGTCATTTTCTATAGATGATTTGAAGAGGATAATAGACCTGACTAAAGGTCAGACTAATTTTTATTATCATCATGGACCAGCAATTCTAAGCAAGGTCAGTGATTGAATCCTCCAGGGAGGATGTATTCCCAGCATGCTGCCCTTTTTGGCCATGGCTGGGCATGTTTGAATTTCACGGAGCATAAAGATACATATGCATTTATTCATTTAAACAGTGGATGGTTGATAAATGAGAGCCAGCATGGTGTCTTACTCATCTTTGTGGTCCACGCAAGGGACTTGAGAGAACAGGTGTGTAATCAGTAATCAAATGGATCCCCTGCCCTCGACCTACAAACGTTCCTACATCCCCACCCGTCACCTCCCATCTGCTTCCCACCTCAAGCAGGAAGATGCTCTTCTGTCCACAGAGGCTCCCGGTCATTCCCTCCCAGTCATCATAACCACTCCCTCAATTTTCCTCCTCTGTTTTCAACTGTGCCCTCTTTGCTAAAGCTACCCCTCAGCATAGAAACAGGTTTTCTTTCTTATCAAAGAAACTCCCCTGACCCAATTTCTCCTCTGGTTCTTGCTTTCCTTCCTTTTCTGGATGTGTCTTATATGAGCAGAGTATATTGGCTGCCTTATTGGCCTTCTTCAAACTTCCATCCTCGATATGTCTCCCGCATATCTTTGCCAAGTTTGTCAGCGGACTAACAAAGTACATTTCATTTTCACATCTAGCACTAATGCCTACTTGTGTTTTGAAGAGGCATTAGTGCTCTCTCTTCCTTTGCCCTCCAAGACACTGTTTTTTGGTACCTGGGTGGCTGCCTTTAGGCTCCCACACAGACTCCTTTCTCCCCTTAACTTCTGAGTTTCACCAAAGATGTAGATTGAGCTGGGGGTACTCGTTGAGAAATCATTCATATCAGAGGTGGTAAGAGAAGAAGTGGCTGTGGCTGGACTGTCCAGCGAGGAGAGAAGAGGTGGAAAGGTGAGGCATGGAGTGAGGAATAGGACAACACTATGAGAGTGAAATTCAAGCACTGCTTTCTCTTAGAAGCCATTCCAAGCTTCCTCCATCCCCTTCCCCCTCTTTCTCTAGTCCACCTTGCTGATGCTGACTCAGCTGTCTCTCCTCTGTTCTCTTCTTCTCTGGCCCCATAATGCCATGCGCATTATGGCATTAAGTATTTAAGACTTCCCAGGTGTAGGTAAAATTTTCATTTACTAATGCCTTACTCCCTAGACTCTAAGCTTCTTGAGGGCACATACATGATTTAATTATCTCTTTGTCTCTTACATATAGATCATAATTTCTGAAGAGCAAGAGATCCTGGAAATAAATGCTTGAATGAATGAATGAATGAATGAATGAATAATGAATAATTCCCAGGTCACCTTCCCATAGTAGTAGGGAAGCACTTTGCTTATTCCATCATCCCTTCCTCATCTATCCTCACCCCATTTTTCTACCACAATTTCCTGCCACGATTATGCAGTGATGAGTTTTAAGAATGATAAAATATTGAAGTATGTACAATGTTCCATGAAGTCAGAAAACTTTTCTTGGGGTTTCAAGCCTTAAAACTCAATATGTGCTCTGTACCTTTAAAATAGATTTGTGTTTTATAGCCCTCCATCCCGATCCTGGTGTAAAATGTTAATCCTTGTTCGTTACATGAAAATTTGGCTTCTTTAAAATCACCATGAGACCATAAAGGCTACATTATGAGTCACTTGTCTCAAAATCTTTGTGGTCATGCCATATAAATCTCTCATCCCTGCTAGGAAGAGTCTATTACTCTAGCATTACTAATAATAAAATATAATTTTAAGTTAAAAATAAATAAAATATAGAATTAAAATGTATATGTTTAACAAGTACAAAGTATATATCCTGAAAATTATGAAGACTAAAGAATCATAAGGCAAGAGACAGCAGTTTCTTCATTTATTTTCCTCCTATTTCCAGCTAGTCACCAAATTATATTGATGCTTGCTCCTTGGATTTCTCTCACTATTGATTCTCTCATTTTGTAACCATTACCCTGGGAGCAAGATATTATTTCATATTTGAAATGTTGTATCTTATGATTATAAAAGGATATCGGGATGAGTGTGTTTTATATTTCTCATATTTTATTTCATCTTACCTGCCTGATCTATTTCTCTTCTCTCCCTCAATTCATGCCTCACCCCCTCCTGGTTTACCCTGCCATAACAAAACTGGCATTGTTACTTTGCTGTGTAAAATCCTCTCAGCTCCCTTTTGCCTGCCAGGTAAGGCACAGACCACCTTGCTGGGCCCCAGAAGTCCTGCACTGTCTGGCCCCGATCATTCTCTCCAAATCTGCTGGGCACTCTTCCTGCAAAACAGACCTCCCATTCCTTCCTCCTTGTTCTCCCCAGGATGCTGTGTTCCTGGCCACAGGTGTGTCTCTGTTCACCTGGGCCCTCTTCTTCCTCCTTCCAGCCATCTCCAGTCTCCAAACCTCAACCCGAAACTTACCTTCAGCCATCACCACACTCCTGTCAGTGCCCACCATGATTTTTAACACCTCTGAATTCCCTTTCACGCCACTCCTCAGACAGCTGTCTTAGTTAGAGACTAATTCCGAAAGGGACAGAAACCGGTTTTTGAGTGGTCTGTCCGGTCCCTTCATCAGCTTGTGAGAATCTTAAGGACAGGGGTGGGCTCAAGACACTCCTGTGCCTTCCACGGTCCTGTAATCTTGCTGCACAGCAAACACTTGGGAAATATGATGGAGTTCATTAATTAATTCATGTTCCTTTACATCTTGGGATCTCATATATTTCTGAAGAAACTTCCATAAGAACAAATAACCTAATGATAAACTACAGAGCTGAGTCTCTGTGCTAATATTACTTCTGCTATTTACTAAATAAGTGATTGAACAAGTTAATTAAATCTTTAGTTTTCCCAACCTACAAATAAGTATGAGGATATCTGTTTTACCTTTTTTTAAAGCACCCCAT